GTAGCTATTTTCGGTAGGCCCCCAGATGAAATCAACATGACAAACATTCAAACCAATGTCATTGCCTTTACCTCCTTGAGTGCTCGTATGGAAATCCTTCTTTTGTGGAAATCTCCTTTACCTCCCTCTTTTAAAATGTGGCTGGGTGATAATATGTCTCTCCTAAAGTTGGACAAAATTAAGTTTACTCTCCGGGGTTCTCCAGATAAGTTTTATGCTCGCTTTTTCTCTGTGTAAATTTGTTATTTACATGTATATGAAACGGAACACATTCCCCTGAACAACACAACCCTCTGATGTGTGTGTTGGTAGCAAGGCATGCTACTTCCCTGGAACCGTTGCTGCTTCCTGTGTGTGTGTGTGTGTGTGTGTGTGTGTGTGTGTGTGTGTGTGTGTGTGTGTGTGTGTGTGTGTGTGTGTGTGTGTGTGTGTGTGTGTGTGTGTGTGTGTGTGTGTGTGTGTGTGTGTGTGTGTGTGTGTGTGTCTGTGTGTGTGTGTTGCAGGATTTGCAGTAAAAGTTATGTTATTTGAAGTCAGTTGCAGTACTTAATAAATGTTCAAATTTAATATAACTAGATCACGCAATGGCAAGTTTTTTTGAACATGCATACCAAGATAAACACCTACAAATAAATACTGTAGGTGTACTGAAAGTGATTTGACAAGATAAAGCTCTTGCACTTCAACCAATTGGTGTTATCAGATAAAAAAGCAACTCTACAGTTTCCTATTTTTTTTTTCAAAGTGACGAACTCCTTCCGGCCAAGTTTTTTTTAGTACTTCAGAGGAAAGAAATTACAAAAAGTGAAATGCACAGAACTGATTTGGACTGTTTGGAAATTGGCTTCATCCAGTTTCAATTGTATTTTGTTCAGGAGGTCATTTATAGTTTATTTGTGTATTTATGTAATCATGAACACATTTAAATATTTTGAAATGTTGTTAAAATCCAGATGAAACATTTGTCCTTTGTCTACCTGTTCCAAAAATAAAACCTGTCAAAAGGGATGAATCAAGAACTGCCAATATTATTGACCTTTATGGGTAAGTTTATGTATCTCTATTTAACAGAATAGATTTCATTGGCCGTCGAACACCCTCCACATCTCAGCTGAGAACCCCTGAAACGATTCCAAAAGTGCCACAAGGCTGACACCTACTCCAAAGTGCTTCCCCGAGGAGACCCATGAGGAAAGCAATCTTAGCCTTAAGACTGACACAATCCCACATCAGCGTCATACCGTTCAGGAGCGTGGACCAATGGCTCCCTGACAGGTTGGGAAATCATGGCTTCCTGTACAACACATTCTCACTCCCAACTCGGCCTTTGTTGACGTTATATCAGGGTCCCTGTCGTCACTTTCCAACTCGGCCCTTTAGCGTCGAGTTTCAACTAACAGGGAGTCCCCATTGACTTGCATAGAGCTCCCTGAACGTTGGTAATAGACGATTTGGGATCGCGGCGAAATGCTCTCCGCAGATCCATTCTCACAGCGTTTATCAACCTTTTTCTTACTCAATATCAAGCCACACTTATTGTGTTTACTTCTTTATTTTAATTTAATAATTTCGGGCTTTTGTTGCCGTCAGTTATGGGGAGAGTACGGGGCTCAGAATACTGAAATCTGTATTGTTTCATCGTTTTTTCCTTCTAACTTTGTATTCTTTTCTAAACTACACACTGTTATTTACTCAACAATAAGACACAGTTATCCTTGTGTTTATTTATTTGTTTGATTAATAAACACAAGTTGGAGTCCGTCAGGACCGAGGGTCGGAGCAGCTCATAGTAGCTGCTTTAGAGAATTTTACACCCGGAAGTAAGTATTCTCTCCGCTTCGCTTGACAAACCCCATGATTAGTCCTCAAGCTCTGTGATTGGATGTTTGAGTGTGCGCCGAGGGTTACGCCGAGCGTTGAACATCACTTTGAAATGGGATGGAACCACGGCAGACTTTCCAAAACTGGATTTGAACGCACCCCGTCCCCCCTTCCCCCACCCCGTCCCCAGAACTACACATGCTGGCTATTGTGTGTTTCGCAACATGTTCTATGGCACGTCTCTACTGGGAATTGTAGTTTTAAAAGACGTTTTCGTATTTCCCATAATAAGAAGTTGCCAGTATTAAACTGTGTACATCCCTGGAGGTTTAGGGGATAGGAAACACTCAAATGTAAAACATATCATTAATAAATGGGTGAACATTGCTTGTGTCCATAATGGGCAGCATTAATATATACCCACATGACAGCTAAGGTCAGAAGAGCTTTATTTAACAGCTGGTCTTATGTCTGTGACCCCTCCTGTTGTTAATTGATAAGCCTGAAACATGCACTTGTCAAGGTTCAGAGGCACATTTTGCAAATATGGCAGTAGCCATCGATCGTCTTAAGATAAGATATACTTTATTGATCCCAAGTTGGACATTTTTTCGTTACAGCAGCATGTGTACCAGTTGTAAATATGCAGTGGTGTTTATTTGTAAATCATTTAGTATAATCACACAAATTCTGTGTTTTATATTTAATAATTCTGTGTTCTTTATTTATTGAATGTTCAATACCTGACAAGGTCAGAGATGAAAAACTTGGGTCGCAGGTTCCTCAACAGTGCATTACAAGACATCTATCGATATGTGTGTACCTCCACCATTAAACTGTCATATTCTGCACATTTCTTATTCTATCTACATACATCTTATAAGAGTTTAATATATGTGTATAATATCAGTTAAGATATGAGTGCTTTAACCACTAGGCGGTTAAAGCACTCAGGTTTACAGTGTTAACATAATAAAATATACTGCTGTTTCCAGTTTAGTTTATGATGGATGTATTTTGTTATCCACACATATATTGTTTTTATATTTGTAACACCAAACCGACAGAAAATATGGTCTTAACATGACCCAGTGGTCTAGTTAATAAAACATATATTATCAAACATAATATTAAAATGAACTCTTATTTTGAAAATACAGCTTCCTGTGTTCGAATGAGCTGCTCCGACCCTCGGTCCTGACGGACTCCAAAAGTCCGACATTATACATTCAAACAAATAAATAAACACAAGGATAATAGTGTCTTATTGTTGAGTAAATAACAGTGTGTAGTTTAGAAAAGAATACAAAATTAGAGGGAAAAAACGATGAAACAATACAGATTTCAGTATTCTGAGCCCCATACTCTCCCCATAACTGACGGCAACAAAAGTCCTAAAATTATTCAATTAAAATAAAGAAGTCAAAACAATAAGTGTGGCTTGATATTGAGTTAAAAAAAGGTTGATAAACGCTGTGAGAATGGATCTGCATTTCGCCGCGATCCCAACTCGTCTATTACCAACGTTCAGGGAGCTCTATGCAAGTCAATGGGACTCCCTGATAGTTGAAACTCGACGCTAAAGGGCCCCCCCTTGCGTTGGAAAGGGACGACAGGGACCCTGACATAACGTCAACATAGGCCAAGTTGGGAGTGAGAATGTGTTGTCCTGTACCGGAGTTCCCGGAGGGCAACAGGCAGACTGTCTTTAATGACTCTGAGGGCTGGTAAGCTGGGCTGAAAGATCCCACAGACTTTCACATTACAACAACTCTTCTTTACACATAGTTCTCCAATCACTTCTCAAAAATGCAACTTTAGAGCTTCTAAACCTGTGTACATAATTTGTATCGCCTTTCTTGTATTTTCCAACAGTGTATCCATACTTAACCCTGCACGGGTAAACTGAAAATAATGATAACACATGTGACAACAGAAAAAGAGAAAAAAGAGTGCGACTTCCATTTGTGTTACCAAGCACCTAAGGTAGCTGTCCAACGTTTTCCATGCATGGAACTGAGCATGGATCCTAGGGTCTGCTAAGACCCAGAACTGCAAGGTCTTAAAAACAGCCCTATCAAATATGTTCCTCTAGATCAGGGGTCGGCAACCTTTTTGATATGAAGTGCCATTCTAAAAAAATGTTTTTATCAGCGTGCCGACGATCGGGAATTATCAACGGGGGGGGTGGGGGGGGGGGAGCTCGACGAAAACACTCGTGAAAAGTGATGTTTAAAACTCAGTTAATGGGGCTCATTCACTGGCGCTTCCACAAACAACCAACATAATTGTTACATTCAAATGAAGTAGCCTATATTATTCAAGTTTACATTAACTTTGGATAATAACACGGGAGAAATGAGCGGAAGCGATCTCTTTTCCTCTCTCTCCCTCTCTCTCTCTCCTGACAGCCTGTCAGTATCTCATGCAGCTCACTGATCCAGTAATGAGTGACAGTGAAGAATAAATATATTTATAACTAGTTCCAAAGGTAGATCAAATAGCTAAGTGTGTTAGGTCTAACTCTTGTGTGTTCTGCTCCGCTCACCCGGTCCGTCACAGCGGGTGGAGCTGCAGGATTTCTGCTTCACACACGTTGCATACCGCTATTTTATTGTCTTTTTCGGACACCTTAAAATACTGCCAGACTGGTGAAGCGATTTTGGCGAGCTTGTTTTGCCGCACACAGAGAAAAGTGTCATGTATGTTACGTCTCGCGATCGGCCTTTTTGAGTGGGGCTGCGTTGCGTGCATGGCTTCCTTCTGCAGGTAACGGGGAGACGCGCTCTGGCGGCGGTCTCGTTCAGGATCCGAAAATAAAATAAATATTTTGTACACTTATTCCACTTATTCCTAGTGTGCCACTGGTTACGGTGCCGCGTGCCATTGGTGGCACGCGTGCCAGGGGTTGCCGACCCCTGCTCTAGATAGTTTGAAATATGATGTCTGATGTCTGGGGAAATGGCAATAGCGTAAAGGATGAAACAAAACAAAACACCATCAATACGTCACACCTCTTAAGTGCTAAAGGTGGTCCTAGCAACTGTACAAGATAATTATCTATATATCTCAAAGATATAAGGACATGTTTGTTTTTTTCTCACGCTGAGAGTCAAGACAAATTCAAATAAGCTTTATTGACATGTCAACATTTAAACAATACAGATTTAAGACTGAAACAAGTGAGATAAGTCCATTGTGTTAAATAGAGACATATCATCTTACAAAGCCATACAGATGAATAATATTCTAAATGTATTGATCCTGTATAGATCTGTTTTACTGGTTAATAAAAAGAGAATAGCATGACACTGTTGTGGAAGCAGGGATCTTAATTTTAAATGCTGATAAACACAAATGTCTTTCCTCTGAAGTACTCTGTCTGCCGCTGATCATAAATATAAAAAGTGTACATTATTTCAAAGATAACTTTCAGGGAGGAGTTGTTCACTTTGAGAAAAAAAGGTGAAGTGGTAAAGCTGCTTTTTATCTGATAACAGCAGTTTGTTGAAGTGGAAGAGCTTTATCTTGTCAGAGAACATGTAATACACCCACAATATATTTTTACGGTTTTTATCTTTGTATGGATGCTCAACGAAAGTTGCCATTTCCTGATCTAGCTATATCTAATTTGCCCATTTACTAAAGTACTGTAATTAACTTCAAATAAAAGGCGGTTTACTTTTTTAATGAAACATGAGCAAATCCTGCAGTTTAAGTCCCAGATTATTATTGTGATAAACATACATACATTTTTGTATTAATATGCACTAGCTCTTACAGTATGTACAAAGTGGCACCTATGCATGTTAAATACCTGCAATAGATTTATACTCACATGGCCACAAGAGGTCATTGTTAGGAAACATACTGTATAACACACAGGCTATTTTACACATTTGAACAAGTTAGACCAATGCTGAGACTAGAGTATTGTTGTATATGTCTGAATTATTCAATAATGTTTGACAGTTGTTATTTTTCTTTTTTGTATCATATTCTGCTCAATAAGGCACCTTTCAGGAACTGTGGGCTTATCAGCAGATGTTTTTAATAAGCTGTTTTTATGTTGATATGTAAAAGGATGAATACAAATACTAATTTAATTGAGGCAAACAAAAGTTGGCCAAAACAAATTAAACTATTTATTTATAACTGATTTTAATCCAAAAAAACCCCACTAAAAACATGTTATGTATCAATCCGAGCAAAGTAATTCTTATTCATGAAATCAGACATTGTGTATAGTTTTAAATAACTCAATTTAAACTCAATTGTAAAAGCATGATTGCATGTTTAGTATCCAAACAGACACCAATGTCAAGCTTCTTTCTCACAGATCCAATGCAGATCGTTCTCACAGGGCCTGTCGTTCCAGCTTTGGGAGTGAACAACACTCCGTATTTCTACACAGTCCTCTTCGTCAAAATTATCAGGCTGTCCTGTGCTCCAAAACCTAACAGGTATTACAGGAAAACAAGATGAATTAAAAGATTGGACATCAAATACAAATAACTATAAGTAATACAGCCATGTTCTTTTCTTAAAACCCAAATGAATCTTCTGGTGAAAGGGGCAGACACCCTACGTTTAAATGCATCCTGTGTGTTGTGTTAACTCCCATTACAGAAACATGTGAAACATTTAGAAAGGTCACAACATAAACCAGCGTCTGTATTTAAAACCAAAGTAAAGCCTTACGTCAGATTCAGGGTCAGTGGAGATCCATCCACCCATTTCCAGGTCCCCTCCTCTTCTCTGTCATTCAAACCAATCCAAGTGTCTTCCTTGATCTTGCTAGTTATGAATTCCTGTTCACATATTAAAAATGCAGTTTACTGGGATGGACATCAACATTCAGATAACTTTTCCCTTTTTACTAGCTCAGAAATATGTAATTAACACCATTGTTGTGACGTAATCATTATAGCTGATAGACACATTTGCTAGTATATGTACAATAAAAACATTATTGATTGATAAAAGCAGGGGGTTAGACAATCATAAATGTTAAAGCAGCACACATTACCTGTTCTTCCTCACTGTCTACGATCACCAGATCTGCTCCTCTGGCTGTGCAGTGCTGTCTGCTTTGTTCCCAAGAAGCTTTCTCAGTAGAGAGGAGATAACAGGAACAACCGATCATCCTCCATCCTTCGGGACACGTTTTCTCTGTAAAAGTTTTAAGATCTTGTTGATTTACTGCTTTAACTGCTGAAATATGGAACTCTTGAGTGCATTATATGTCACTTTTGTAATAATAATGAAAACACATATTTATTAAACATTTTTAGAGGGATCAAAAGAGATCACAAATGTCATTGCAGAACAACTACTTCTCTTTTTTTGGGATTTAAATAACTGTTTCGATGTGATCTAGTCAGGCACCACAGCACTGAGACTGATCTTGTTAAAGTCTTCAATGATATCCACTTAAACACAGACAGTGGCAACATTTCGGTGTTAGTTACTAGACCGGAAATTATTATTATTATTAATATTATTATTATTATTATTATTATTATTATTAATATGCTGCAAATATCTGGAACAAACTACCACTAAGTTCTTCTTGCTATTGCTTATATTAAAAGTAATTTAGACAAGGAAACTGGCCATAAGCATAGTTTACAGAGAAATATAAATATGGTGGGTGAAGAAAAATAAAACAAACTATAAATTAAATCACTCACAACTAAGTCATTAAAAACTAATTCTTGATTATCATTAATGAAAAGTGTCATTGTGTAACTATTTTATGAAAGCATCAATAGTCAGCCTTAGACTATCAATATTGAAGTATTTTGTAAAATATATTATGATAATAGATATCTTACATACACATACCGAGCCCTATGCAAAACCCCACATGAAGCACTCACCCTTGTCCATCAAACTCTGAAGCCTGTCCACCTCTCTGGTCTTTTCAGTGAGGTTGGCCTTCAGCTGGTCAAGACTCTTAGTCAGGATTGCTTTGATAGTGGAGAGATCTGCAGCTGCAACACCTTCTGAGTAATGGCCTGAAATGAACAAGAAACACGTTTTCTAAACAGAAAATACCTCATACATTCATACAAACTTAAATAAAAGGCAGAGGGCAGAAAGTGGTTTTGAAAATTCCAAATTCCAAATGACATTAACTTATAAAACAGACTAACAGTAGACTGTGAGTCCGATGAAGACAGCCAGCAGGAAAACACTCAGCAGCCCAAAACCGAGAACAGACGCTCGGGGAAATCTCCTGGGACCTGAACACAGAGAAGACCAGTGAGTATAATAAATCCACAATCCACAACTCACTCCGTCTGACTGACACTTACCTTCTTTTATTGTTGATGATCTTGGGGTTAGGGGTTTCACAGTTTCAACATCGTCATTGATTTCCTCCATTGCTTTTAAAAAATGCCAACTTTTTTCTTTAGGTCAGCTCTGCAGCAGGGACTGCAGCGCATGTGACCGAGGTTGAGGGTTTCAATTTCTAAATATGTTATCCTTCTGAGGAAGTGACTCATCTGAGATTTGCTGAAAGAAGTTTCTATGACAATCTTCCAGATGATTATCAGACACACCATATTAAAGTTACAGACATTCTCTCTCTCTCCAGACCTCCATGTATATATAAAGGCTCTTTAGAGGAATACAATATAATTGCTCTGTTTTTATTTCAAACAAATACACGTCATATCATTGTAATGTTGAAGTCTGTCTGCTGCCAAAATTATCTTCCACAAAAAAACATCCACCACTGAATATTTTAAGTTACAGACCTTAAAAATATTAATTACATGAACACTTACATAAGTTGAGTCTGAAATCTTCTTAATTGGGAATAAGAATGCAGGTATTTCTAAATCAAACTTTACCTTTCAAATTCCTTCCTGGAAATATCCAGCAAAGAAAATAATATAAAAGTTAATTTAGGCAATGATGATTTGTCACTTGTCCTCCTCCATGACTCATGTCTTTATGGTATGAGTGTGTTTTCTATTTCTTTTTCTCAGTAGTATAAATGATTTCTGCTTGGTGTGTTTTGTTTTCATCAGTCTTTGTTCGTATCGCAGTCACTGCCCAGGGAGTTCTCCTCGGTCAGCACAGCCAGCCACTATGTGAAATATCACTATAAGGAGGCTGTGGAGCAGTGGGATAGTGCACTAAACTTCGGATCAGGGGAGAGCTGGTTCCAGGGCAGCAGTCAGCATGTCGTTGTTTCCCTGGGTAAGACACTTCAGCCCATTGGGGATTGCCCACAGTATTGAATGTATGTAAGTGGCTTTGGATAAAAGCGTCTAACAGGTGAAATACAACACAGAAAACACCAACATTTAAACTATGAACATTAATATAATTTCACTAATAGTTAATGGCCTAAACAACCCAATTAAAAAAGTGCTTACACAAATGAAACATCAAGGTGGAGATATTGTATTTATGCAAGAAACACATCTGTCAAAAGTACTGTGTGTGTGTGCGTGTGTGTGTGTGTGTGTGTGCTTCGCCAGTTTGGGTCCTTATCACAACTGATCAAGATGGCCAAAAGATTCTCTGCTCAGAGGGCCATTTGATGATGATGAAGAGGAAGAGGAAGAGGTTTCAGAATGTGAGGATCACATTTCTGAGAATTCTGAGTCTGACAGTGACTTTGAAGAAGGGGATGAGATTGAGCATCAGCTAGTTACAAACAAAAGACGAGCCACAGGACCAGCCGGACAGCGGTCAAAACAAGTAGCACTTTAATTCATTAATGTGATCTAATAAATGTAAAATGGCAAATATTAACCATATATGCTGTTTATATTGCTTGTAATTGGGATGAAGTAAACGTCTGTTGAGTATTTTAACGTAAAATTATTTGATTGTTTTTAATTGAAACCCAAAAAGGCAACGGATCCACCAGACCCACGAACACTGGCTGATTAACAAAAATATCATCAATAACATCCTGGGTTAAGCTTCTGCCTATGGTGTAAATACAGCCTATCTACCAATTGGATCAAATATAAAAGTCAGCCGAATTAGTATTGATACTGCAAGGAGACGTATTGTGTGAAAAGAAATGTAAGATGTTGTTTAATTGCTGATATATTTATGATCCACGTCACGTTTTCAGTTTTGGCGGCAGTGCTTCCTGTTTGTCCAGAAGTCTTCTCATCAGGGCTCTATAAATACAGAACTACGGCAGATATGTCATATTTAATGCAGCCGAACCGTGTATTACAATGCCGTTATGTGATGACTGTCAGGGTTGAGTAAGCAGGCAGGACCCAAATGCAGATTTCCAAGAATAATCCTTTATTCCAAGGTACAAAGTAGAAACACAGAACACTACCCTGTGACACACAGTCAACTACAAACAATGAACCAACAATGACAGACAGAAAAACCAGAACTAAAATACACACAAGACCAATCACACAAACAAGACACAGGTGAGGAGGGAGGAGAAAACACAGGGGCACCAGGTGAACACAATCGGGCAATCAGGCAGGAGGGAACACAGACACAGGAAGAACACAGAGACAGGAAGCAACAGGCAAGACAGGAGTGAACACTTTTCAAAACAAAACAGGAAACCAAAGACAGAAAAAGACAAGACAAAACCCAACACACACAGATCGTAACAGAACCCCCCCCTCAAGGGACGGATCCCAGACGTCCCAAAAAGTCCCAAAAAGTCCAAAACATTCCAGCAGGGTGGGTGGAGGGGGTCTGGAGGAGGGACGCACAACCAGGACCAACAGGGTGGGTGGAGGGGGTTTGGAGGAGGGACGCACAACCAGGACCAACAGGGTGGGTGGAGGGGGTCCGGAGGACGGGCCCGGAAGGGGTCCCGGGCGGACGACCCGGGAGCAAGGCAGAGTCCAAAAAGGGGCGAAGGCCACAGCGGGCGAACTCAGGGACCCGGGCATGAGAGCGAAGGCAGTGGTTGGGAGAGTCAGGAGGCCGGGCTCGAGGGCGAAGACCACGGCTGGGGTACTCAGGAGACCGGGCTTGAGGGCGAACAAGAAGACGTCTACGGGACAGCTCCGGAGGACGGGCAGGAAGGCGCTGACGGGACAGCTCCGGAGGCCGGGCAGGAAGGTGCCGACGGGACAACTCCGGAGGACGAGCAGGAAGGCGCCGACGGGACAGCTCCGGAGGCCAGGCAGGAAGGCGCCGACGGGACAGCTCCGGAGGCCGGGCAGGAAGGCGCCGACGGGACAGCTCACGGAGGCCGGGCAGGAAGGTTGCCGACGGGACAGCTCCGGAGGCCGGGCAGGAAGGCGCCGACGGGACAGGCTCCGGAGGGCCGGGCAGGAAGGTGCCGACGGGACAGCTCCGGAGGCCGGGCAGGAAGGCGCCGACGGGGACAGCTCCGGAGGCCGGGCAGGACCCAGTATCGGCCGGACAGGAACCGGAGCCGACGGGACAGGCGTAGACGGGATCCTGAACATGACATGGGCTGGTGTCAATGGGACCCCCGGATGGAGCAAGGGCTGGTGTCGACTGGACCCCCAACGGAACAGGACACAGAGTTGGCAGGACCCCCGGCGGGACAGGTGTCGGCGGGACCCCCAACAGGACAGGATCTGGTGTTGGCAGGAAATCCGGCGGAGCAGGTGTCGGCGGGGCCCCCAACAGGACAGGACATGGGGTTGGCAGGACCCACAGCGGAACAGGTGTCGACAGGAAACCCGGCGGAAGCAGGCAGCAGTCGGCGGGACCCCCAACAGGACAGAATCTGGGGTTGGCAGGGCCCACAGCGGAACAGGTGTTGGCAGGATCTCCAACGATACTGGACGTGGAGTTGGCAGGACCCTCGGCAGGAGAGTTGTCGGCGGGACCCCCAACGGGACAGGACATGGAGTTGGCAAGACCCCCGGCAGGAGAGTAGTCGGCGGGACCTCCAACAGCACAGGACATAGGGTTGGCAGGACCCCCGGCAGGAGAGTAGTCGGCGGGACCTCCAACATCACAGGACATAGGGTTGGCAAGACCCCCGGAAGAAGAGTAGTCGGCGAGATCCCCAACGGAACAGGACATGGAGTTGGCAAGACCCCCGGCAGAAGAGTTGTCTGCGGGACCCCCAACGGGACAGGACATAGGATTGGCAAGACCCCCGGCAGAAGAGTAGTCGGCGGGACCCCCAATGGGACAGGACACGGAGTTGGCAAGACCCCCGGCAGGAGAGTAGTCGGCGGGATCTCCAACAGCACAGGACATAGGGTTGGCAGGACCCCCGGCAGGAGAGTAGTCGGCGGGACAGGACATGGAGTTGGCAAGACCCCCGGCAGGAGAGTAGTCGGCGGGACCTCCAACAGCACAGGACATGGGGTAGGCGTCGGCCGTAGAGCCAACAGGACACGGGGGGCTGGCGTCGGCCGGAGAGCCAACAGGAGACGGGGTGCTGGAGTCGGCCGGACCACCGACGGGACACGAGGGGCTGGAGTGGGCCGAACCACTGACAAAACACGGGGTGCGGGAGTCGGCCGGACCACCGACAGGACACGAGGTGCTGGAGTCGGCCGGACCACCGACAGGAGACTGGGTGCTGGAGTCGGCCGGACCACCGACAGGACACGAGGTGCTGGAGTCGGCCGGACCACCGACAGGAGACGGGGTGCTGGAGTCGGCCGGACCACCGACAGGACACGAGGTGCTGGAGTCGGCAGGACCACCGACAGGAGACGGGGTGCTGGAGTCGGCCGGACCACCGACAGGAGACGGGGTGCTGGAGTCAGCCGGACCACCGACGGGACACGAGGTGCTGGAGTCGGCCGGACCACCGACAGGACACGGGGTGCTGGAGTCGGCCGGACCACCGACAGGAGACGGGGTGCTGGAGTCGGCCGGACCACCGACAGGAGACGGGGTGCTGGAGTCGGCCGGACCACCGACAGGACACGAGGTGCTGGAGTCGGCCGGACCACCGACAGGACACGAGGTGCTGGAGTCGGCCGGACCACCGACAGGACACGAGGGGCTGGAGTGGAATCCACAGGTGGACTGGAGGAGGCAAGAAATGCAGCAGAAGACGTCAAAGTCGAGACCCGAGCAGCGAGGCCCGGGAAGCATAGAGCCATGCTAGAGCTGGCTTTCCTCAAAGTCTCGCCACGCCTGCTCATGTTCCTGAGAAATGGCGTGCTGGAACGGAACAGAGGGCGGAACCATGGCTGCCGGGGCCAGAACTGGGGCTGGAACCATGGCTGCATGGGCCGGTTCTGGAGCCGGAACCATGGCTGTTGGGGCCAGAACTGGGGCTGGAACCATGGCTGTGTGGGCCGGTTCTGGAGACGGAACCATGGCTGCTGGGGCCTGTACTGGAGCCCAAAGCATGGCTTCTGGGGGTCGGGCTGCTAGCCTGGACTTGCGACTCCTTCTCCTAGGAGCCTTTTGGAGGCTCCGTGGACCTCCAAAAGCCAGACGAGTGCCCGCGAACGGCTCCTGGACAGGAGCA